CTCATGGCTCCACAATTATCTTCTGTATCTGTGCCAGCTGGTTCCTCTTTTCTTTGTTGAAGAGGATTTGTGTAGTCCTCTGTATCTGTGTCAATTGGTTCCTCTTTTCTTTGTTGAAGAGGTTTGTGTAGTCCATCTGCCTATTCCATCATCTAACCAGAACCTCAAAACACTGTTTCTTGATTCAGTGTTTCATTTTTATTCAGATTATTCCTTAACCATTCAAGTTTGTAGGAGTTAAATGAATGTAGGATTGAGTAAGATATATAAATCAATAGAAAAATACCAATATTCCCTTACTCATATGTAATTATGATTACCAGAATCTATTTCAGGTCCATCTTTTAATAAGTTGAATATTATATTGTGGCTATATACATTCCCAAGTTAATTGAAAAAATTACTGGTTTCAATATAAAAATCAGTCCTAAGAACTTTTAAGAACCATCATGTGTTTATAATAGAACTTTTGTTTCAGGATAAAGGTATCAAGTCTAATTTGAAGAAAACATATAGTCTATGAATATAACAAGAACCTCTGATGGTGCTGTGGTTAAGGCATTGGGCTGCTAACCAAAAGGCCAGCAGTTCAAAACTGCCATCTGCTCCACGGGAGGAAGATGAGGCAATCTATGTCCATAAAGATTTACAGCCTTGGAAACTCTATGGGGATCACTGAGTTGGAATCAACTTGATGGCTGTGGGTTTTATACATAGAACTGAACAAATATAACCATAAATTGCACAAAAAATTATATGCTGTTGATATGCCATGTTTTACTCAATTTTTGGCCAGAATTGGAATTAGAAAAGTAATAGCATCCAGCATTTCATAGATGCTTAATGAAAGAATGGTTCATGAATATTGAGAGTATGCATGAATGAAAAAATGAAGTAGTTGTGGCCTGACAAGTAAAAACAGGTATCACTCTCCTATGAGGACTATTCCATCATTTGTTCTTGTTGTTGTTAGGTGCCGTCAAGTCATTTCCAACTCAGAGTGACCCATGCACAGCAGAATGAAACACTGCCCAATCCCACACCAGCTCCATGATCCTTGCTATATTGATCCCATTGTCACAGCCACAATGTCAATCCATCTCATCGAAGGCCTTCCCCTCTTTCATTGACCCTCCACCTTACCAAACATGACATCCTTCTCCAGGGAATGGTCCCCTCTGACAACATGACCAAAGTAAGTGGATGAAGTCTGGCCATCCTTGCTTCCAAGGAGCATCTCAGCTGCACTTCCCCCAGGACACATCTGTTAGTTCTTTTAGCAGTCCATGCTTCAAAAGCATCAACTCTTCTTCGGTCTTCCTCATTCATTGTCAAGCTCTCACATGCATACAAGGCGACTGGAAATATCATGGCCTGTGTCAGGCACACCTTAGTTCTCATGGAGACATCCTTGCTCCTCAGCACTTGAAAGAGTTCCTTCGCAGCCAACCTGCCCAGTGCTACACCTTGTCTAATGTCCTGATTGCTGCTTCCACTGGCGTTGATTGTAGAACCAAGCAACATGAATTCTTTGACAACCTCAATCTTTTTTCCATTTATTGTGATGCTGCTTATAAGCCCAGTTGTGAGGAATTTTTGTTTTCTTTATATTGAGAAGTAATCATTCATCTTTCCATACAGCAGCTCACATACACTTTGTGTCATGATATTGACTACAATTTACTACAACTCAACAGCTCCCTTCCCACTTCCTCCCCATAGTTACCTCTTCCCTGTGTCCTTCCCTTCCATGCACTTCAGCCCCCAAAGCTGTCTCCCTGTGCACACACAGCCTTTCTATTCTCCCATGATTGATATCCCCAAAGAGTGCATCTACCTATTGTAAATTTTCAGCTGACAGGCCTTTTTTTTGGCTGGATGTCACCGGTTGTTGTTGTTATGTGTCGTCATGTCAGATATGACTCATAGCCATCCTTCCTTGGGTTTCTGGGGTGGTATCACTAAGGAAGTAGATAGCCCAACCTTCCTTCCGAGGAGTAGCTCATGAGTTTAAACCACCAGCCTTCTGGTTAGCAGTCAAGTGCATTAAGCACTACACTACCAGATCTCCTGGAAGCCACAGGAGTGTATTCAATTCCAGATCTAAAGGGAAACTAGGGGTCATAGCCTCAGTGGTTCCATCAGGCTCTATCAGACCCGCAAACCTGGTCCTTTTTTTTTTTTTTTTTAAATTATTTTGAGTTTTGTTTCATATTGTTCTCGCACTCTATCCAGGATCTCCCACAGAGATCCCCTTCTGAGTGACTGACAGTGGTAGCTGGGCACCATCTAGTTCTTCTGGTCTCATAGTTGTATAGGCTGAGGATTGTATGGTGTACCAGTCGCTTGGACTAATTGTTTCCATGTGTCTTTGGTTTTCCTCATTCTTCTTTGCTCTGGATGAGGAGAGACCCACCGTTGCATCTAGATGGCCACTTGCAAGCTTTTAAAATTCCAGTCATTACTTGCCAAAGTAGGTTGTGGAACAATGTTTTTGTATAGTATGGTGTGCCAGTTGAGCTTGATGTTCCATGCAACTATGGTCCCGAACCCAAAGCTTCACCTACTTGCTCCCTTTGGGTAGCTGGCTGTGATTAAGAAGGGACTACAACCTTGCCCCATGTCAGCTCTACTATATACATGGACATTCTTACAGAACATACAAATACATTTGTAGAAACATTGTCTGCCAACCCTATATATGGTCTTGGGTACACTCCTCTCTGCATGGACATACCCAAGAGTTCAGCCTGCCCACCCATCTATCTGCCCATGTATCAATGTTTGCTTTCACTGACAACACAGTGCTACATGTGCAAAAGGGTTCATCTTTGCTGGGTGTACCTCACACCCACCTCTCTATGTCTTCCGTTTCCTCAATGCTACCATGTTGATTACTCACATTTGGTATATTGCCCTTCTCTTCACCCAAATCAATACTTGTCTCTACCTATCTAACAGTGTTCCTTCCCCTCCCTTTTCCTCCCACTCCTGGTAACCAACAAAGAAAATTTCCTTCCATATATAGCATTTCCTTGACTTTTTACAGTAATGGACTAATATAATATTTGTCCTTCTGTGATTGACTTATTTTACTCAGTATAATATCCAAGTTAATCCATGCTATGTGGTGTTTTGCCGATTCTATGTTATTCTTTAGGGTTACATAGTATTTCATCGTCTGTATGTACCATAGTTTGGTAATCCATTCTTCTGTTCATGGGCACCTAGGTTGTTTCCATCTTTTGGCTACTGTAAATATTGTAAATAGTGTTGCCGTGAACATGGGTGTGCATCTATCTGTTCTTGTCCTGGCTCTCACTTCTGTAGGATATATACCTAGTAATGGAATGTCTGGGTCAAATGGTATTTCTAATTCTAACTTTTTAAGGATTCGCCATACTGCTTTCCACAGTGGTTGTACCATTTGACAGTTCCTCCATCAGTGTATGAGAGTTCTAATCTCTCCACACCCTTGAAAGTATTTTCTATTTTCTGTCTTGTTGAACTTTGTTACTAGTGCTGGGGCCAGATGGTATCTTGTTGTTTTGATTTACATTTATCTAATGGCTAATGATCATGAGCATTTCTTCATATGTTTGTTGACCACCTGAATATCCTCTTTGGTGAAGTGTTTATCCATGTGTTCTGCCCATTTTTTAATTGGATTATTTGTCTTTTTGTTGTTGAGATGCTGGAGTTTTCTATAAATTCTAGAGATAAGTCCCTTGTCAGATAAGTCATTGTTGAATATTTTTTCCCAGTCTGTAGGTTCTCTTTTGACACTTTTGGAGAAGTCTTTGGAAGCACATGAAAATGTAATTTTTAGAAGGTCCCTCTCATCTAGTTAATCTTCTGCTGTTTGTACATTTTGGGTTATGCTTGATAGTCTATCTATGCCATGTATTAAGGCCTCTAAATTTTCCCCTAGTTTTTCCTTGAAGAACTTCATAATTTTAGGTTTCATGTTTACGTCTTTGATCCAGCTGAAGTTAGTTTTTGTGTATGGTGTGAGGTACAGATATTGTTTCATCTGGTAAATGGATATCCAGTTTCGCCAGCACCATTTGTTTTAAATAGACAATCTCTTCCCCATTGAATGGATTTTGGAACTTTGTCAAACTTCAGATGACCATAGGTTGATGGATCTATTTCTGGGTTCTCAATTCCTTTCCACTGGTCTGTGTCTGTCGTTGTACCAATAACAGGCAGTTTTGATTACTGTGGCTGTATTGTAGATTTTAAGATCCAGATTAGATTTATAGTTTCTTTCATTACACTTTTATATGTGGGAATTTTTTTCACAGGGAGAACAAATTTGTTTCTAAGTTGTCTCACTAATCTACCATTATGGTTGTCACACTAATCATATTTTTCATTGGTACTCTCACAATTGCCCAGATACTAATTTTAAACAAACAAAACTCTACATGTAGGATCCAAATATAATTACATTTGCAAAAATGCTTGCAGAGTCCCATAGATAACAGTTTCCTGCAGAGAATGATTAGGAAGATTATCTTTTGTACTGTATAGTACATTACATTTTATATTTATATTGTATATTTACATATTACTTTCACTCATATTGTTTCTGTTTTCAAAATGTGGGGTTATTGGCTTCCATTGTTTAACATGAACAGGAAAATATAATGATATATATTGTAATTCGTAGAAATTAGTCTTTTATAGTCCAAAACTATAAATATTAGTAGACATGGTAAAGAAAGAAATGATAAAAGTTATTAAAAAAAATAAATAAACTATAGTCTACTAACTTATTCATTAGACTATGGAATCAAAATTAATCAACTTAGGAAATATTATTCACTAAGTGCTACAAATATAATTACCATTACTTTTACTTAGCTTAGAACAGAAAGAAACATTTCTTTTTCAAACATAAAGATAGTGATTATAACTGGTTCACAGTCAAATTGATTACTAAGGCAAACACCTAATCATCAATTTGTGTATATTTATTCAGACAAAATACTTACACTGCTTTTGACATCTTTAAGCTTTGGAAGAATGTCTAATCCAAAACCATCTGCCTGTCCTCGAGTTTTATTTCCACCATTCATGTAGTTGCCAAAGGCAAGAACCAAACCCAAAACCTGCATAACCCCTGGGCCATTTTTTAATGTCTGTAAAACAAGAAAAAGAACAGTTTTTCTCTTATACAAGGTTTTGTGCCAGACATTCATAGTATACTAATAATTATGGATCACAGCCAAACTTTGTCATTGCTCATTATAAGGTATATTTAAAAAATAGTGTCTCCAAAGTTAACTTTAACAAAGTAGCTACACACCATAAACATTTAGGTGTACTTTTGCAAAAAGGTATCAGTCAAGTTCCATGTCTATCATGTGACTGTGAACATGAAATAAAAAAGAAAACAAATAAGGTTGCAAATTAATATTGCACTCATCCTAATTTTATTTACCTTAGGAGTAATACAAATTTTGGTAGTTGTAGGAAAACAAAGGTCATCATAAAGATTCATTTCCAAAATTAGATTTACCCCTCAAAAGTTCATTCACTCCTTTTAAAAAGCTAAGTTGAATTTGAATCTGCATTTCACTTCTTCTGAAAATCTCCATCTTTAATAACATCTTTCTACATTTCAAAAAAAAAAAAAGTGTCATACCAGACAAATAGTAATATTGATTTTCGACCAATTACTTAAAATTTTCATACTGGTAATTTATGCAAGGACAAATTTTAGTTTTCATAAGAATGTTTATCTTCTGTAAGTCATATGTTGCTGTTGTTGTTATTATGTGCCATTGAGTTGGACCCGACTCATAGCAAACCCTCCTTGGGTTTCGGGTTTCCAAGGTGGTTATCTCTATGGAAGTAGATTGCCCAACCTTCTTTCTGAAGAGTGGCTGGTGGGTTTGAACTGCCAGCCTTCTGGTTAGTAGTCAAGTGCCTTAGGCACTATGCTACCAGAGCTCCTGTAAGTCCTATGGCTTGTTCCTAAATCATTTGGATGGAATAATTAAGAACAATTTGTTGAGTGGCCCTTCCAAAAATAAAGTAAATAAAATGCCTTCAAATTGCATTCATTTGGAAGTATGATATATGAGAGGTTCATGTTTGGGCCAAGGCAGAAGTGGCAGACTCTCCAAAGGCTGGTATGTACTGGTGGCATTCTAACAATGCTGTCCTATAGCCCCACATGCCAATCTAAGCATTTGCTTTGATACTGGAGCACAATCATTAAATGTTCCATTCCTTGGGACTACTAGCCTTCCAATGTAATAGAGTAATTAAAGGAGCTATGCTCAGTTCAATGGTAAGGCATTCAGCTTCTAACCAAAAGGTTGATGGTTTGAACCTACCAGTTGCTCTGTGGGAGAAAGATGAGGCAGTCTGTTACCATAAAGATTAAACCAAAAATCAAACCCAATGCTACAGTTAATTCCAACTCATAATGACCCCCATTAGGTTTCCACGTCAGTAAATCTTTACAGAAGTAGATTGCTTCATCTTCCTTCCATGGAAAGGTCGGTGGGTTTGAACTGCCAACCTTCTGGTTAGCAGTCAAATACAAAAATCTTCCATAAAATTTACAGCCTTGGAAACCCTATAGGACAGTTCTACGCTGTCATATAGAGTTGTTATGAGTTATAATTGATTAGATGGCAGTGGGTTTTTGGTGGATGTGGTAGTGAAGGTTGTGTGTCAACTTGGCTAGACCTGGTTGAGTGGCTGGGCAGCTGGATGTAGTATCCCCCATGAAGAGACTGGTAATCAGCTCCATGGTAGAATCTACTGTGAGCAGCTGAGGGATGTGGTATGTTTCTTGTATATAAGGAGAAGCCTTGGGGATAGTCTCTAGATTATGGCATGCTTGAACCTTGCATGTAGCCATGTCATTGTTCAGCAGCCAGCCATGTTCTGCCAATCTTGGGACTTTCAACAGACTTGAATTAATGGCCTGCTGTGTGGTTTGGTAACATCAGGACTGTGCCTTTTTACTTGTCAGCCTTGGGCTTGTCAGTCTCAGCAGCCAGGAGCTGTCTGAGTGAAGAAAAGCCTCTAGCTTCAGTGGGCCAGGAGCAGGAGGCAGAGCTGAAGCCCAAAGCTGAGGGGCTTTCACCCAGCCCCTAGGCCTGGTACTTTGAACTTGGACTTAAAGCCTCCAAACAGTAAGAGAATAAACTGCTGTTTCTTTAAGCTATCTCATTTGTGGTATATTACTGTCAGAGCAGCAATAGGTAACCAAAACAGTGGGATTTAGAGTAAATAAGAGAAAACAGTTTGAAATCTGAACATGATTGAACTGGATTAAATATGAGAAATGAAGCTTCTGCTTTATAGAGACCAGAACCCACCTCACACAACTTCTGTAGTAATTCCAGTTTGCGACGAATGGAGCAAATGCTTTCTGAAAATGTTGACTGGAACAGGATGCAAAAGACTCTCTCTGAAAAGTTGGGGATTAGTGATAGTTCATAAAGGAACCTAAGGAAATAAAGCCAAGTTCAGAGGAAACATATAATTCATATAAACAGATGTTTATCCTCTTATCATTCATAATAATCATGCACTTAAGACACTCCAATTTTCAAACAGACAGAGCCCACCACAGCCTGGATGACCTCTACACAGATATTAAGTGCTTACTGTTCAGGTTTGTCCAGAGACTTGGCGTTTTCCTTGTCTTTGGATGATCGGCCATGCTTTTCAATCTTTTCCAGCTCATCTGACTGTGCTCTCTGGGAAAATAAAAGCCAAGAAATTTTTCAAAATTTGATTAACTGAATCCTTTAGACAATAATGATCTTAATACAGCAGAACTATATATGTTTTCATATTTCTTACCATTTGTTTGTGGTGAAAATTCATGATCCATTTTAAAGTGTAGATATGCTTAATGAAAATCTTCAAAATAATCTTATTAATTATTAGTGATCTACAAAATATTTATCCATTCAAGTGTGCTTTAAAACAATAGTCTTTTCCCTTCCTGTTATTTTGGTTGTTTATAATACTCTTTAGAATGCAAAGATTTCATTTTAAAGTGTTAATCCTAATTGAGAAATCAATTAAGGTAAATTTGGAAGCAATTTGATTCTCAAGTTTTTATAATATTTTTAAAGAAATAAAGTATTTACTTAACAATTGTAATCATTATTATTGTTATTTTTATTTTGGAGGAAGAAAAGCACAATTAAATGACTAAGTCATAGAATAAAAAATACTTTTATTTTTGGTCCATCAGTTGAATTTTGTTTTCATTCAAAAGTTGCTCCAAACTTATTTCCTTCCTAAGTGTCTTCCTTCACCCTTTATAATCTCAAAGGAAAATGTTGTCATCCTAAACTTATTTCTTTATGGGATGTCTTATGCATTTTTTTTTCCATGTGGTAGATTTTATAAACTTCAAAAAGCACAAATCTATTCATTTCCATAGAGTGCTTGCATTTTTATTTGCAGTCTTGCCTCTATAACTCATAAAGATGTTTCAAAGAAGCCAATACACTATATTTTCTAATTGCATTAAGGGAATGTGAATATACTACCATATCTTGAGTTTAAGTTCAGTCCTTAAAATTCCTTCAACATTATTTCTTTGAATAAGAGCTCACTCAGCCAAGAACTTATGTGGAAGATAGAGCCTAAGAGATTTCTAGAGCATCTATCCATGCTATCTAAACAAAATTATGTTTTGTTTGTATTCACAGAATATTTAAAAATATTAGTTGCAGTTGATGGGATTAACTAACAAAGACTTGTTTGCTCTAAAGAAACTTCTTTTAACAAGGAAAGAGGAAGTAGTGGCAGATTAGTAACCCCACTCCACCGCCAACCTCACTCATAAAAGTGGATCCTCTGGTAGTTTGATAAATTTTGTGTTTGGAATGTGACACATCAAACATACACAGATAAATAAATGAGGCACATTTTATTGCAAATATCCCAAGCTACTTCTAGAATTTCAATTGCATTTGTTTGTATCAATCTTATTTTCAGAAGGTTGGCATTTTAAACCCACTAGCTGCTCCATGGGAGAAGATGAGGCAATCTATTTCAGCAAAGATTTATAGCCTTGGAAACCCAAAGGGTTCACTATGTGTCAGAGTCAACTCAATGGCAGTGGCATCTTATTTTGGTTAGTTACCTATGAGTCATCCCCACACATATTTTCAGAATGTCCTTTAAAGCATCATTATAATATGGTCTTTTAATAATGAGCATATCCATCTTTCTTGCAAATAAGCATCCAAGATAATATAATAAAAGAATATTAACGTTAAGAATATCAATAAATTGGTTATAGAGTTTAGGTAAGATAGAAGAATAGGCAGAAAAACTGAACAGACTCTCTTCAACAAAGAAAAGAGGAACCAGTTAACACAGATACAGATGATAACCTTGGAGCCCTGAGCTTTGAAAGGAAGGATACCGAAGTGGACCTAACTCCAACTAGTACAAGAACCTGCATGAAAACACTGAAAAAGAAGACATACAGTCTGTCAGTGGTCTGTCAGTGATCCTGATGGCACAGACAGCTTGGATATTGCCAAGTGGTTTTAGGATCTAAGAATTAACCTAAAAATTGGCCCTGCTAGCCAGGGGCTACATGGAGGACAGCACTGGTGGGTGCTGAATAAAAAGGTAAGTAGCAAAGAGGGAGATGGGCTGAGCTGTGGAATTTTGGTTGTCTGGAGGACATAGCCATTTTGAATGTTTACAAGTGGTTTGACCATTTTGGATGTTTAAAGCCAGGATTCTCTCAGATTCCAGGGACCTAAGAATAGGCTCAACTTGTAGGACACTGAGGACTGTAAAGGTGTGATATTCTCCTTGTTACTTTTATTACCTCATACCTTTTTGGTGAATGGAAGTGCAGTCATCTCTCACTTTCACCCACCTTCTGGGCCAGCAGGAATTCCATCCCTACCTGTGTGCTCTGACGGAGCCTGGGTGCCCTGTCCCATCCTACCCAGATGTTTTTTTTTTTGTTTTGTTTTGTTTTTTACTTTGCTTGTTTTTGTCTGTTTAAAATTATTATTATTATTATGTCTGTCCTTTAAATTATTATTCATTCTTCTTCTCTTCTCAGGTTCTATCTAGTTTTTGGCTTTCTCTCTCTTTCCTTTTCTTGGTCCCCTTTTTTTCTTTCTTATGGTTCTCCCCATTCCTTGTTTTTCTTTTTGTATTTTCCTCATTTTTTCCTTTATTCTTCTCCTACTCTCTTTTCTCTAATTCTCACCTCCCTAGAACTTGTGGGTCCCCCACCTTTAACTATTTTTTTTTTTTTTTTTGGCTTTTGAAAGTAATGCTTTAAATATATTCTCTGATTTATTGCATTAGCAATTCTTTTTCCCTTTTTCCCTTTATGGTGATTGTGCCTATGTGTTTACATGGTGTGTATTTTTTTGAATATTCTCCATGATAGACCATATGTTGGGCCATAAAGAAAGCCTCAATAAATTTAAAAACAATGAAATATTGCAAGCATCTTCTCAGATCACAATGCTATAATTAGAAATCAACAATAGGAAGATCAATGGAAAAAGAACAATAACATGGAACTGAAATGACACCCTCCTTAAAAATGAATAGGTAATATATGAAATGAAAAAACAGAATCAAAAAATTCCTTGAATCAAACAGAATGAAAACACAACGTATACCAAAATCTTTGGGGCACAGCAAAAGCAGTGATCAAAGGCCAATTTACAGCAATGAATGCACACATCAAAAAAAGAAGAAATAGCCAAAATCAACACTTTAAACCAACATCTCCAACAATTAGAAAAAGAACAGCAATAAAAGCCTACAGTCACCAGAAGAAAGGAAATAATAAAGACTCAAGCAGAAACCAATGAAATAGAAAAAGAAAAACAATAGAAAAAAATTAACAAGACGAGAAACTGGTTTTTTGAAAATATTAATAATATTGACAAACCCCTGAGGAACTTAACAAAGGAATAGAGGGAGTGAATATAAATAACACAAATAAGAAATGATTGGGCAACATCACAACAGAACCAAATAAATAAAACCAGAAAATAAAAGAAGACCAGAAATATAAAAGAATATCAGGATACTGTGAAGAACTGTACTCAAAAAAATCTGAAAATCTAGAAGAAATGGACAGATTTCTAGAAAAACACTCTTACCTAAACTAACACAGAGTAAGGTGGAAAAGTTGAACAGACCCATAACGAAAGAAAAAATCGAACAAGTCATCAAAAAATTACCAACAAAAACAAGTCCTGGCCCAGACAGTTTCACCAGAGAACTCTACCAAGCGTTCAAAGTAGAATTGACACCAATCCTACTTAAACTATTCCAAAACATAGAAAAGGATGGAATCCTCCCAAATTGATTTTATGAAGCAAATATAACCTTGATACCAAAACATCATTAAAAAGGAAAACTACAGACCAATATACCTCATCAATATTGATGCAAAATCTTCAACAAAATACTAGCCAAGAGATTCCAACAACATATCAAAAAAATAATTCATTATGACCAAGTGGGGCTCATATCAGGCATGCAAGGATGATTCAACATTAGAAAAAAAATCAACATCACCCATCACATAAATAAAACAAAGGAAAAGAACCACATGATCATATCAATCGATGCCGAAAAGGCATCTGATAAAATCCAACATCCATTCCTGATCAAAACTCTCACAAAATAGGAATAGAAGGGACATTCCTCAACATAATAAAGAGCATATATGCAAAAACAACAGCTAACATCATTCTCAATGGAGAGAGATTGAAACCATTCCCCTGGTGAACAGGAACCAGAAAAGGATGCCCTCTATCACCCCCTTCTATACAACATTTTATTGGAAGTCTTGTTGTTGTTGTTATGTGCTGTCGAGTTGGACCCAACCCATAGTGACACTTCCTTGGGTTTCCGAGGCAGTATCACTATGGAAGCAGATTGCTCCATCTTCCTTCTGAGGAGTGGCTGGTGGGTTTGAACCGCCAGCCTTCTGGTCAGCAGTCAAGTGCTTTAGGCACTACACTACTAGAGCTCCCACTGGAAGTCCTAGCTAGGGCCATAAGGCAAGAAAGGGAAATCAAAGGCATCCAAATTGTAAGAAAGAAGTCAAACTATTCCTATTTGCTAATGATATGATCCTATACCTAGAAAACCTAAGACTCAGTAAAAAAACTACTGGAACTAATTGAAAGATTTAGCATAGTGGCAGGATATAAGATCAACATCCAAAAATCAGTTGGATTCCTCTGCACCAGCAAAGAATTTGCTGAAAAAGAAATAAGGAAATCAATAACATTTACAATTGCTACCAAAAAATTAAAAACTTGGGAATAAATCTTATCAGGGACACAAAAGACCTGTACAAAGAACACTGTAACAGACTACTTCAAGAAACCAAAAGAGATCTACATAAATGGAAAAACATAACATGCTCATGGATAGGAAGATTGAACAATGTGAACATGTCAATTCTACCCAAAGCAATCTATATGTTCAATGCAATCCCAATCCAGATCCCATCAACATCCTTTAAGGATATGGAAAAAAATAATAATCACTAACTTTATATGGAAGGGAAAGAGACCTCAGATAAGCAAAGCACTATTGAAGAAGAAGAACAAAGTAAGAGGACTCACACGGCCGGATCTCACAATCTACTATACAGCCACAGTAATCAACACTTCCTGGTATTGGTACAATGACAGACACACAGATCAATGGAATAGAATTGAGAACCCAG